ATGTGGGATCCAAACCCTCGGGCGGGAGCACCGCCGCGCTTCCCAAGCGGCGCACTATCCAATGCGCCACCGGGCCGGCCCCTACCAAGAGCCTTTGATTGACATTTTAATTAAATATCTGTTGTTTTAATCTAAGTCATCACTTGAATCAAGAACTGCAGATTGGTAACTGTTGAATAGTTAATACTTTTATGAAACTTTTCCAGGCATTTTAAATATTTACAACCAGGGTAGGGTAAACCCCATCCTTCTCTGTGGCTAGGGAAGGAAACACTTTTGTTGAGCCAAACCATGTGTGGAACCATTTGGAAACATAAACCAATTTAATCCTCTCCGTGTCCCTAGGTAGGCTCTGGGCCCCAGAAAGGTTAAGTAACTCTCCTCTGTCACACAGCTGCAGGTGGTAGAGTTGCTTCCGGTTTAGAGTGCTGAATGCCATTTATCTTTATTTTAGACGAAAATAACTTGTAAAATCTGACATCCAAATGCTTAAAAAACAGAAAGATATTTCTATATTGTACACTTTTCAGAGCTAAAGACTTGGCTGGACAGGCACTCAGATTGTGTAAAGGCCCCAGGGCTGTGTTTTCCCGGGTCTTGCTGCTGTTTTCAGTGACCGACTCAGTGGAGGATGAAGAAGCTGCGTGTGGTGGCCAGGGACAGCTTTCTACTGTGCTGTTGGTCACTCTCGACCGAATGCAGTTTCCTAGTTATACTATCAATCGAAAAACCCGAATCTTTCAAGACAGAGAAGATCTTATCAGGTAAGATCATGTTAGTTCACTGCAATATCTGCGTGTGTATTTTGAAATTTAGTAAAAGGTTTTATTCTTATTATTTTTTTATCAGCCAAGGTAGAAACACTAGGTTCACAACCAAGACAGTTTTGAAGTTTTTGTTTTTTGTTATCTTTTTTGCCTCACTTGTATACATTTCTGAGACTAGAGGGAGAATATAGAAATGTGCTTAGATTAAAGTTGCCAAAACTCATGAGTTTTGAGTTAGAGCTACAAGACTTTTCCCTGCTCATGTTTCCAAGTAGCATTGCAGGGAGTGTTCTTTTAATATAGACGTTTTCACAAACCTGCCTCGTGAATATGTTGTTGGCATGAACAAGGCTGAAGATGAATGATTTCTAGTAACAACGCTTCAGATAAAGCTAATAATAACTGTCCTAGAGTCATGTATGCGAAAAACTAGACATTTTCACTAATTTATATTGGTACATGGATTTAGTGAAAATTTGGTTTGACCAGCAGAAGTAGGTTTTGATAAGAAACAATAGTGTAGGTCTTACAGAAAAAAAACCCCACCTGGATTTCCTAACAAAAAAATACCTTTTATAAGAGAAATGAATTTTGATTTCCTGAAATGTCATTTTGATTCTTGATTTAAGGTTTATGACACAAATTTAACCAGAATTGACTCTGGTACTTACTTTTAATAAAATCCTTTAAGTGTTTCTTGAAAAGCCATCTGCTTTAAAAATAAGTTATTGAAATTATCAAATCAAAGCAGTGTCAATAAAAACTGATTTTAGCCCATTTTGCCTTTGCTGTCATGAACTTAGTATCTTACTTGTGTTCAATTGGAATAACTTTTTTAGTCAAATCTTCTAATATGACTATTTCCTCTTACCCTGTTTTCACCTTTTTTGTTTTTAGTGGCTTTATGCTTTTTTCTTTTGTGAGAATGTGTACTCTGAAGCCAGGTTACAGTCTGTCTATATTAAGGAACTGTGAAAACACTCTGTGCCTCAGTTTCTTTATCTGGAAAATGGGGAGAATAATAACATGGTCTTACAGATATGTGTTGATACATGTGAAGTGCTTAGCGCCTGGTCTGCAGAGGATGCCTAGTACATATTAATTATTATTATAATTGTCATTATTACTGTTATATAGAAGGGGGATTACTTTTTGGTCCTGTGACTGACAAAACCATGGTGAACAAGTTCAAAGGTGGGGAACTAAAGAGAAAAAATAAACCGTCTCATATTCTTTCTAGAAAGTAGGTATGCTGTATGTAATAAAAATAGTTACAAACCCCTTTATTACACGAAGGGCCTTAACTTGTAAATGAAATGGGATTTAATTGACTTCTGGAAGGATAACACAAGAGTATTCAAAAAGTTCATGGAAAAATAGAAGGAAAAGACAATACGAATCTTTCCATTAACACTTCGAAGTGCCTTGCACAGGCTGAGCATCCCTGAAGCAAAAGTCCAAAATCCGACATGCTCCAAAATCAGAAATGTTTTGAGCACTGACATGACGCTCAAAGGAACATTTTGGATTTCAGATTTTCAGATTAGGGATGCTCAACTGGTATATATTCTTCAAATATTCCAAAATCCTAAAAAATTCAAAATCTGAAACACTTCTGGTCCCAAGCATTTTGGATAAGGGAAACTCAAATTGCATGATATAATACCTGGTAATAAGATACCTGGCCTGAGAACCCTTTTGTCCACCTCTATACTTGAGATAATTTGTCCTTTCCTTTTTTCTCATTTAGTCAATAAAAATGAGTTGAATGTCATGTGCCTATTATGTGCCTAGGTAGTGGGGTTGCAGCAGTGAACAAGATAGGGTCTCTGCCATCGTAGGGGTATGTTTCAGTTGGGAGACAGAAAATAGAGTAATTACAGTGTGTGAAAAGTGCTTGGTAATTGAGGGGTGGGCCAGAGCAGTTCTACTTTATAGGCAAAATGTCAGGGAGAGTGTCCCTGGAGAGGTGACATCTGAAGTGGGACTTAGAATGAAGAGGAGGTAGCCATGTAGGGATGTGGG